ATATATCTGCGTGTTTCGTGTTCTCGATAATTTTCTTTGCCTTTGTGTGATTGATATTTGTCTATTCCTGGGGATTTTTCATAACAATTTCCTAAAAGACCTTCGCCAAAGTGCTAATTCAAGAACGTACACCGCCATAAAAATCCCAACTTGCCCATCAAATTCTAGTCAGTACAAAACATATTAGAAGCAAACATGGTAAAAATTTCGACAGCATCAAAATTACCTGGAGACCAACCAAGACACAGTCACCAACAACAAGAAGAACATTGAGAGCTCGATGCTTCGACGATACACTGCTCCTGTGCTTATCGTACGCCCTCGACACCGCTCTAGCGTTCTGTGATATCAATTTTGAGTGGCAAACGCTACACTCCATCACCCCGTTCTTCAACATATCTAGTCGCTGGAAGGGGGAAAAAAACCTAATGCCATAAATTTACAGAACAAATCGCAAAAATTCAAGCTCGAGCGAGTTAGCAGCAGCTCAAAAGCTATCAAAAAGGGAGAAATCAAGAAAATGAAGAGAATCGAACCAGGATTTGAGATCTAGATCGCGAGTTCAGCGAGCTCGAATCGATTGATGAGTACTGATTGATCGAGCTCTAAAGAGTGGGAGATCTATAGAGTTCGGAGATCGAGGAAGAGAAAGGGAATATCCAATAGGCGAGTGCGGAATCAAAGTTTGGTGAATAAAACGACGATTTATCAATTTTCCTTTATATATATACTAGTATGTACCCCGCACGGTGACTAATTTTTTTATCATTGTATTTTAAATTTGCATCTCTTTAATTTTTAATACATTTGATTTGATTATTATACAGTTAAAATTAAAAATCATAAATCATATAGAAAAATATGTTACCCAAAATATTGTCATATGATGCTTATACATTATTGATCTAAAGAATATATAATGTAGAAAAATATGTTACCCAAAATATTGTCATATGATGCTTATACATTATTGATCTAAAGAATATATAATGACAACTCTAAATTTCCTAGATTAAGAATCACCAATTTAATATATTACTAAATTAGTTACATATCTCTTTTTAAAGTTTTGTCAAAGGCAAAATGCTGCAACCAGTTGCTATTCCAGAGGTTAATTTATTTTGTATCTCGAGGGAGTGTTATTTTGGAAAAGTAAAGTAGCTTAAATTGGTCTTTCTATTATCTATTTCTTCATTTTTCATTTTTCTTGTTGTTCTACAAAAGAAAGTAAGTCTTTATATTTACAAATTCTTTTTTAAGTTGAAATTCTGTTGTAATTTTCCAAAAAAAATTCATTATAACTTCTACTCATATATAAATATACATTACCCATATATAAATATACATTGTTAAGTGAGCTAGGGCTTCACATATCCTTTGGATCATCAATCAACGGTTGAGATTTTTTCCAAACATCTCACGACCACATATAAATATTATTCTCACATCTCATGAACCCTAGATCTGGCCATTTTCAGTCGAACTCCCCAACTCAAGTCCTCATCGACGACATGTGCTTCTCCTAGCCGCGACGACGCCCTCCTCCCGCACCGACGACGCCCTCGTCCGCCCCGACGACTCCCTCGTCCTCGTCCCGCTCCGACGACGCCCTCCTGCCTCCCCGCGACGACGTTCTCCCCCCTCTCCGACGACGCCGTCGTCCCTCCCTGCGATGACACCCACTTCCATCGATCTCTGTTTCTCTGCCGTGATTCTTTGATTTTTCTCACTGGAAAGGTAAAAAAAACCTTTTGCAATTATTTTTTGTACTTTTTAAGTCTGCATGCCCATATTAATTTATGATTCACTGCCTTCCTTGAGGGATTTCGTGGGATTTTGCTTGATTTGTTGGATTTCGGCAATTACAGGTATAATCTCTCCATGATTCTTTGTTTTTTAGTTTAGATTTGCCGTGATTCTTTGATTTTCTCAATGGAAAGGTAAAAAAACCCTTTTGCAATTAGTTGGTGTACTTTTTGAGTCTGCATGTCCATATTAATTTGTGATTCACTGCCTTCCTTGAGGGATTTCGTCGGATTTTGCTTGATTTGTTGGATTTCGGCAATTACAGGTATAATTTCTTCATGATATTCCCTTTCGTTGAATAGTTGATGAATAATTGGATATCAAAAGCATGAAAATTTGTTAATCTATTATTTCCCTATTTTTTGGTATTATTTATGCTTAATATCATGCTAGATTCATTAAATTTGGTTGATCTATCTCATCTCCTAGAAATCTGGTTTAGTTTCGTTGTGAAATTTTAGCTATTTTTTCATCTTGCTTTTTATGTGTTTCCTAATTTACATGAATGAATATGAATGAATGAAATTTGTTTCATTTTTGTGAATAGGTCGGCGTTTTCAGTTTTTAACATGGAAAAGTTGTTGTTTTCTATTAGATACTGGTTTACAAAAAAAGGAATTGGTTAGTGCAGTAAGATGTGAATAAATCAAATGAGATATAGTTATCTGGTCAATTAAATTTGGCTTGATATTTGTTAAGTTTTCTTCTGTAACAGCAATTTAAATGGGAAGAAGTGATAGTATCTTCTGTCTATTTAACTGACTTATGCTTAGGTTTTAAATTTGCATTATGGAGTTCCTTTTCTAGAACGATGAATTTTAACAGTAAAAAGCTTTCAATGTTTTTTAAGTTAAAGTATAAATTAATCTGTAAATAGAAAGTTCTCGTTGAACAAAATAAAGAGCTTTGAATGTTTTAACAGTAAAAAGCTTTGAACGTTTCAACAGCTCTATTGTATATACCGCTGTCAATAAACAAATACATATGCATTTTAGTATTGGTTGTTGGCTTCTTGTGGTATATAACGGTCGGTTTGAGCTTAATGACAGATGGCTTTCTTTGGTACTCAATTCTGGTATTTGTTCTTTTGGTTTATGTTTTTTTAGATGGGCAGTGATGATGATAACAAACTGAGAATGCATCCTATTTTAATTAATTATGTAATGTTTAGGCGAGGCAATTCTGTGTGGAATGCCACCTACATTGATATTACAATGTTTGGGTGATGTAATCCCTCATAATAGCAGCCTACATTGCATCATAGTTTTATAGGAGAGGCAATCTTTTATGACCAATCTATTTTTATCCTGAGCTCAAGTAAGTCCTCATAGATTTTTGTGATGAATTCGAGCTTGTTTAGTTCTAATTTTAGTAGGAATTGGTGCTATTTTGTAGCTTATGAGTTTAATCATACATAGTTGAAAGAATTGGTTTTATCATGTAGCTTTTATAATTGACAGAACTTGTTTTATCATGTAGTCAGCAACAATAACTTTATAATTTGAATAAATTGATAGATTTGTATTACCTGTGAAGTTCATAGAGCTTCGAAATATACAACATCATAAATTGTTTCTTCCGAAGCCTTCATAAGTTGTTCTCACTGTGAGTATTCCTACATGTATGATGAAAAATTTATTATCAGTAGTATAGATGGTTCATAATTTATTAATTCAAATGTTATGTTTTACAAAAATTATGTTTTAAGCACTTTATTTTCTCATAAAGTTTATGAGTTTAATGTTATAAGTTGTTGTTTTTCCTCGCTTAGAATTCTATTGAGTGTACGCACTAAGTTGGTGAAATCTGTAAATTAAATTGGGCATATATATAAATAGCCTATAAGTTGCTCAATGAAATCATACCTGCTTAAGATGAGCATTGTTAGTTCAATCTTGAAGTCTTAACTCTCTTTTGTGTCTTTTCTTCATACTAAAGCTTTGTACCTGATTTATGTAATTATATACTTGGTAAAGATTGAAAATATTGCATGTGCTTTGTAATTATGACTATGAAAGATGCATATGAATGTGTACCTGATTTGAGCCACTACTTCCATATTACATGATTTGCACCATACTTTTTCTTTGCACAATCTCGACATGCAACATAATGCCAATCTAGTTCCTTGACATTTCAGTATGTTTTATTTTTCCTTGACAGTCAAGTGGCCTATGAAGTTGAATATCAAATTATTAGTATGACTGAATATGTATTATTGTTCAACCAAAATGATGTACGAAGAGTAATCATAATGTTAAAATAAATATATATTTTTTCATCCAATTGTGTTAGATGGAAAGCAAATATATCTTCATTCATCATATTGTCATTTTTCCAAATTCTGCTCACCCCTTCTTTAATGATTGCATCATTGTTTTTATTAGTTAATAAAGTGATGGTTGAATATGTACCTGATAATATCTGCATGTCCTTCAGTCTGCACCGAAATATTAATTTCATCAGTTAGACAAGATAATCATATCATTGTAAAGATGTGAGATAGTGCAGGATTATAACCGCAGAATTTACAAAGGTGTTTCGCCTTATACGGCTATATGTTTGAAACATTTGATTATTTGCTGATAGATTTTATCTAATCTGTAAGCACTAATTAGTTTAGTGCTGCCCTATTATCATCTCTAGCCTGTTTTGCACTGGCCATAACAGAGTTTGCATCTTTGTCTTGAGACTTATGTGACGTAACCTTATATGGATGTCTATTTGCTGAATAATTTATATTTTATCAGTACTTTCCTTATGGATTACTGAGATTCTTTGCTTCACTTGTGGATTAATTTTGAACATGCGTATGTGGAACTGGAGAACAAAGGTGAGAAGGCCTTAGATTCTGCTGGTGAGTCGTCAAGAACACTGGTAAGTTTTTAATTAATGTGTTTTAATTACTTTGTGTTGTTTCAGTGTCATAATCTTGGGACATGGTTAATTTTTGAAACACGTATCTTAGAGTGAAAATACTTATATTGACTTATCTTTACAGTCTTTACATTGTATCGGATCATTTCAGAATTGTTTTACTTCAAACATTGTAATTGACATTAACTACTTTTTTCTCTTATTATAAAAATTATTACTTACAAATGGTGTCAATTTTTGCTCTGGTACTTAAAACTAAATTTAAGCATGTAATCAGGAGGGAAGTATACATTGTTTGAGAAGCTAATTAAACTATTGAATGATCTTTATTTCATTAAAAGTGATTTACATCTATATCTGAACGATGAGAGATGCAAATATGATAAATGAAATCATACCTGCTATAAATTAAATAATACCTGCTATAAAATATCCTGTGCTTTTTAACTATGAATAGGAAATGTAGCTTTGAATGTGTACCTGATTTGCGCCATTACTTCCTTATTACATGATCTACACCAAACTTTCCCCAAAGTTGATGGTGTTTTTTTTTGCACAATCTGGACATCCAACATAACGTCAATCCAACTCCGTCACAACTCCAATGATTTGCACATTGCATATGAAAAAGTACTCCTGTAATAGTCGTAGAGCTGGTGAGTCGTACGCAGTCAGCAATTATGTAGTTTAAAAAGTTTACGATGCCCTGGCTTGTATTGTTGTCTTCATGTTGCTTGTTTTCATGAATTTCATCAATAATTTTTAAAATTTTGTAGACTATTTACATGCATAAATTAAGTACCTTTTTCAGTGTTTTTTTTCCAGATCATAAGCAGAAATCTTGATCAACTTTTCAGCTAGGTAAGTTCTCTGCTATTTCTTCTAAGTTTTTCTTTCTCTTCTTCTTATTCGTCTTTTTTCTTGCTGCTGCTGCTTTTTTTTATGCCATCGTGTTGTTTTGTATTGCTTCTGGCCGCTGCTCTGTTCTTGGTTTC